GGTGGGAGCGAACAAGCGCCGGCTTCCTTACAATACATTTAGCTCTGCTTTCCCAAAGCAACTTACTGCCCGGCGCCTTCATGTTTCGGGCGTCGTGGGATTCCACACACGCTGCCGCCCCTCTGCGCCCTGCCGCCCCGAGGCCGGAACTCGGTGGCCTTTTGGGGAATCCGGGCCTGGGTGTATCCAGAAATGATAGATGTCCTCAGAATTATTGATGCCATAAACTGCCCATATATTCTCTGTAAGTACAGTGACTGAAGGAATCACCTGTTTATAAGTATTAATAAATCATTTTTATATTCTTGTTTAGATGCCGATGAGTGTACCAGATGTCCCTCCGATCAGTGGACCAATGAAGAAAGGGACAGATGTGTCCCGAAGGTGATAGAGTTCCTCTCATACAATGAACCATTGGGAATCATTCTGGTGATAATGGTTGCCATCTTCACAGTCCTCACACTCTGCATCTTAATCATCTTCATTAAAGATCAGGACACGCCCATCATCAAGGCCACCAATAGGGAGCTGAGCTTCATCCTCCTGGTGTCTCTCGTTCTCTGCTTCCTCTGCTGTCTGGTGTTCATTGGTCAACCGTCCAAATTCAGTTGTCTCCTGAGACAAACCTTCTTCAGTGTGGCCTTCTCCATCAGCATCTCCTCAGTCCTGGCCAAGACTATCATGGTGTTCCTCGCCTTTAAAGCCACCAGGCTGAACAGTCCGTTGAGGAAATGGCTCGGTCCCACCATCCCTCGTAATGTTGTAGCACTTTGTTTAGTTGTTCAGATGTGTATTTGTTCCCTATGGCTTCACAGGTCCCCTCCATTCCCAACACTGAACACGCAGAACTATAAGATCACATTTGAGTGTAATGAAGGACAGAAAGTATTCTTCTACATGTCTCTGGGGTTCATGGGCTTTCTGGCCATGGTGAGTTTCCTGGTGGCTTTCCTGGCGAGGAACCTCCCGGGAAGCTTCAACGAGGCCAAACTGATCAGCTTCAGCATGCTGGTCTTCTGCTGCGTCTGGATCTCCTTCATCCCGGCCTATCTGAGCACCAGTGGAAAATACACTGTGGCTGTTCAGATATTCGCTATCCTGGCCTCCAGTGCAGGACTGCTGAGCTGTATATTCCTGCCGAAATGTTATATTATCCTGCTGAGACCAGAGAGGAACCATCGAGAGTTCTTATCAGGAAGCAAAATGAGGAGAACACCTGGATAAATATATTCCTGTATAAATATAACTCTACAATGAATGAGATATAATTCTTATATTTTATAGAGCTTTGCTTTGTATTCCTGCTCTTGTGAAGGGATCACATTTGTGAAAGAAGATGTATCCCTAAATCAGAGCAGAAGGGCCTAAAGAGGAGTGGCCTGTTACATAAAGTAGTAAGTCCTCAAGACCGGAGTAGCCAGACTTCAACCCTCCAGCATTGGTAAAATTACAAATTTCATCATGCCTCTAAAAGTCATGCCTGTCAGAGTCTTCCAATGCCTCGTGGCATTTGTAGTTTCATCACAGCTGGAGGGCCAAAGTTTGGCTACACCTGCACTGGAGGATGGGTATCAATGTTAGAAAAGTGGACCCAGCTTAGATTGGGAGGATATTGGGGGGAGGGCAGTGTGTGTAATCAAGGCCTGATTTACTCTCTCTGCTGCCCCAAGGCCAGGTTTCTCAATGCGCCCCCCTATCTGGCCAACTACCCCGCCCCCCGCCATGGAGAATGGCAGACCTGCAGGCTGCATACAAGTGATCTCAGCAAAATCCCCGAGACCACTTGTACAAAACAAGCGTCGGCTCCCCCCGCTGTACATTTAGCTCTGCTTGCCCAAAGCCGGGCTAAAATGTAGAAAACAATTACCCTCCCAGAACTGCATGTCCCCGGGCATCAGGAGATAGGAATTCCACACCCCTGCCGCCCCTCTATTCCCTGCTGCCTCAAGGCCGGGCCTTGGTTGACCTTGTGGGAAACCCGGCCCTGTGTGTAATGTCTGCCATGATGGAAGAGGTCAGTTTGGTGTATAACCTGGGAGAATTTCCTGGATAAGTGAAAAGAAATATGTTTTATATTTGTTATAATAGGTTAAAAATCTGGAAATGAATTGAAGGATCCAATTGTTTTATTATCGTATTATTCTTCCACAGATTTTGGACTTTATTCATTATTAACCAAACTCCAAATTTTGTGTTTAAAAAAAATTCCTCAGCTGGACAGTTTATTGAAACGGAACAAATTGTATTCTTTCAACATAATAAAACATGAGCGTATCTGGTACTTTAGCCACTCTTAGATTCTGTCTCCCATAGAGAAGACTAGTGCACATCTGTGGAGGGATCTCCTGGGAATATCACATCCTACACACAATGAGAATGTCAGCTCTGGAAGGCATCAGAAGCTCGGCTGATCACTGCTCATACACAGGAGATATTACAGGGGTGAAGACATATAATTACCAGTTCACAAGGGGCTTCTCCTTTCCATCCTCTTATAATTACCAGCGGAGCAGTCACAGGACAGATGGGGCCGTGTACGTGGTAATTTAATTCCCCTTAGCTCATGATCTCTTTACATGCTGATCCACCTTACCATTTTCCGGATCACCAAGGATTCGGACCTGTAATTACGGGACTCCTATCCCTGTAATCACACAATTTATCACTATTCCACTTCCCTCGGCAAGTGTTGGGTTTTGATGACCCCACCGAGACCCACAGAGGAGACAACCAAACCGGTAATTATATCAGATTGGTATCCACAGATTGCCGGCACCTCACCTGCTCCCTGCCACTGGGTTCCATATAAGAATCAATGCGTCCGTCTCTATTTATAGAAGAGAGTGCTGTCAGCGAGGACATTTCAGGACTGATTGTGGAATGCTGCATGTATTTCTCATGATACAATATACAGTATATATGATGTCTTTATTATCTATCTGCCAGCATAACACAATGTATACTGGGAGTTTGCAGCACATGATATGAACCTTTTATGAAGACAATGTAACCATTATAATATATCATACATACCATGTGAGGAGGATACGCCATACATGTACATCACTGGATCCTTCTACACTTATCCACATGACAAAGGTGGTCAGTGCTGAACATACAGACTGATCATATAGAAGAGAAGTGTAAACATTTCTATCAGTGCAGGTTTCCTGTAATCCAATATTTTCCAAGTACTTTCCTTGAAGGGAACCTATACTCCAACTGGAACTTTAAAAGTAAGTCCCGCCTAAGAGCAGACAACGTTATATGTATAATACCGTGTTTCCCCCAAAATAAGACACTCTCTTATATTTATTTTTTGCTCAAAAAAACACACTAGGTCTTATTTTCGTGGGAAGGTCTTATTTTTTTTGTAATGTACAACAATCCAAAGTTAATGAAAATCCAAATTAAATCATCCAAAATGGCAAAGTTAATATTAGGGTGATCAGGACAATCAGGGGTGCCGTACCTTTCCAAGAGCAATTTGGTAACCAATCGCTGGCCAGAATGAGCGAAGCGCAGTTTCACTATGGATTCCTCACAGGCGGAGTGCATTTGGTATGACTCCACCAATGACAGCAGCCGGCGCTATAGAGGAGGCGTCGGCTTGTGCGGCTCTGCTCCCTCCGGTGCCGCCTCGCTTCCTCTAGCGCCGGCTTCATTGGCACCGCTGATTCTCTCCCGCGGCTCTTCAAGTTCCCCCTTATGCCATCACCGGCCCTGGGAATGGTCACAACTAGGTCTTATTTTCAAGGTAGGTCTTATATTTTATCAATTCCCAAAAATAGTAATAGGTCTTATTTTCGGGGAAACATTTTGTTAACCAACAATCCTCTTCTGTGCCCCTCTCTAATTTATTTCTACTTTGTCACCTACCATTTCCTGATTTCACCAGCTGTCATTCCTCTGTCCACTGAAAGTGCCTTTACTGGCCACTGAGGTTGTCTCAATGTTACATTGTTGCCCTGATGAAGGGTCCCCGCGTGGCCCCCGAAACGTCAGTTATAATTATTGCAACATGTGGGATGATTTGTCCGATTAAATGGACTTTATCATTTGCATATTTTGTTCATTTGCTGTTTGATGTGCACGGCGCAATCCATGAGTATCACTGCAAGCACCATTATTGTGATTCGGGCCGGAGACGCTGTGAGGAGTGCAGGGGGACATATTGGACTTCATTGGACAGTGAAACGGTCAATAAACACCAGAAAGCTGTCATATAATATGAGGGAGTCTTGTGAAGGTTTTATTTAATACCTGCAGCAGGTGTTCAGATCCTGGAACTCAGCATAGAGACCTCATCATGTCCTGGTGTAAGAAACCATGAGGTAGTTTGACTCTCCAGAATCTACCACCAAAGCATTCTAGGTGGACTAAGACTTTAATCCAGATAATACTGTAACCTCTGACCCCTTATCTTCTAGTTGGACTGGTCGAGCACCCTCCGAAAAGTTTGCAACTGTAGATCACAGGAATGGCCATGAAAAGGACACTCCTGCAGGTCTTCCTCCTCCTCTCATGGTTGGATGAGGGTCAGTCTGGTCCCCGCTGCAGTCCCCAGGATTGGCTGATGGAAACCTTCTCACAATTTGGTGACATTCTAATTGGGGCAATTTTTGTCATTCATTCCGGATTTATCTTTCATCCACCAAACTTCCAGGAGGCGCCGAAGCCAATCTCTTGCACGGGGTGAGCTCTGCAGGCAGCTGTCTGATAGCTAAAGAAATGCTCTGAGTCAATATGTTTTTGTTTTTCAGCAGAAGACGGGTATTAGGAATGCACAGTATTCCCCCACAGGGGGTTTTCCTAAATACAACCAGATATGCTCCAGTATCTGTATCAGGCTCTCGATAACTATGCAGCAGAGAAGTTTTCACTCCCAGGAGCATTGTCTCACTGTGAGATTTACAGATCAGATTTGTATCCTGGGACTGAATAGAAGTAAGGAAGCAATGGAGTATAGTCAACAGGATGGAAGGCTAAATGTTCCTATAAGTAATGAAGGGTGGTAGCAGAAGTATAACTGGAAGTGAGGAAAGGGGAAAAGAACAGCAGGAGCCATAGTCATAGAACCAAGAAAGGTCAAATATAAATCAGCTTCAACTTCAGCTTTAAAGGTGGGGTGGGTCAGTTAGGGAATGGGAATGGTATTGTCTCCCCTGGAGGTGGCTTATCTTTGTTATCAGTTTTCACTCATTGGTCCAAACCATGTTCATGATTTCCGTTAAGTTGTTTTCTGCTTGTGGTCATCTATTGAAATGTGTGACAAAGTTACTACATAATCTGCTTATTGTGCGTTTCATCAGGGCTGGTGCTGCCACTAGGCAAAAAAGGCGGCCGCCTAGGGTGCACTGCTGCCTAGGGTGCACTGCTGCCTAGGGCGAAGCCTCGACCACTGACCCCCCACGCCAACCCCCTGTCTATTTCAAATTGCAATAGCCATTAGCAGGCTGGCTTTTGCACCCGACCACTGTGCGGAGGAGCAGAACTGAGAGACTTTCTCTTTCAGGTCTACTACTCTGATCAATGGGTGGGGTTTCCATAGCAAGTCTGCTACTGGCTATTTCAAATTAAAATAGACAATAGTAGTCTTGCTATTGCTCCTGTCTGCTTACATCCACCTGTTGCCTGCAGAAGCTAGCCGGCAGGGGAATAGGG